AATCCTATGACTCCCCACTTTTAAATCAATTTATATCCTTTATCCATTCAATGCATTCTTCTTTCATGGGTTGTCATTATGTTGATAGAAGGCTAGTTTGAAACCTCCCTTATAAACTCAAAGTTCACATAAAAACAGAGGCAGCGTAAATTGAAGAAGAATCCATGATTTTCTTCTGAACGTGTTATCTTTGGGAGGCTTAAAACAACATTATATGTAAACTTTAATGTTTTGAGGTCACAGGATCATGCATGGGGTTCATATCCAGTGCTGCTATCAAGTTGATGTCAAACAAGGTCATAACTGGGGCTAGTCATGGGGGGGGGGAAGAGTACACAGGTTATTGAGGCCTTATACAACTACTTATCACTAGAAAGGCTGGAGTTCAATAGATATCATGTGCTATATTGATATGGCGCTCTGCTATCTTCCAATAACACTTCCACATGCAGTTCTATGCGTTATAATGTGGCATATTATATTGCATTACTGGTCTGTCAATAGACTGAAGTATTAGCCACTATAAACATAAAGCTCCGTACTTCTTAACTTCTATTGGTGTATTGATTATTCACTAACACCCTAGTAGCCAATCAGATTGCTCTTCTATTATTAGATGGGATAGGAAACCAAACATGGCTGCTTTGGATATTTAACTTAACATCTATCGTGAGTAATTATTTCATTTTTCATCTAGCCTTAGTCCACATGAGCCAAAACAAGTCAGAGGTATATATTAATGGTTAAGTGCTGGTCATGTAGAGCTAAAAATATCTGAGTTATCAAGTGTATATTTGTTGAAATGGCTGGTTTAAGTTGCTCTTTGTATATGGCTGTTAAGAAAATAGAAGTCAAGATTAATATGTTCCAAACCTGTGTATAAATAATTCACTTGGATTTGTATGTTGGCTCAAGTCAGTAAATATGTTGCAGTTGAATGAGGCTTTTCAGTTCTGTTTTATTAACGGATTGCATTTTAGAATATTGTCAATTTTGCTTTTAATACCACAACCTGGTAGACCTTTATATGAACTTTTCTAGACATCCCTATCTAAACCTACAAAATGGAGTGAACTCCGAATTATCCATCAAAAACATGTGAAAGAATGTTAAATATCAAATTGTATTTGGGTTTACTTTTTCTAGGGGATATAACACACCTCTTGTATAATTACTTAATGATTCCTTACTTTCTTACAGAGAAGTTAATTATGTTTGTGTGAGGAAGGTCAGGGGTCAACTATTAGGCTTGCTTAGCATATCATAGTAGTCCTTGCCAACTAAATGTGATTTACATCTATATAATATTGAATTATCCAATACAAAAAGGATCATAATCATTATACGATTAATATCTATATAAGCACTATGAATATTATGTCTGTCATCAAAGCTATGTTATTCTAAATATAACGGTTTATACCTACGTGGAGGTCAGACTGACCTTATTAGATAAAATTCCTGATTTGACCTTGAGAGTAAAGTGATATAAAGCAGAATTACAATGTGGATTCATGGAAGAATCATATTGAATATATTAAGGGGAAAAGTGTGAATCATATTAGGGATTACTAAGCCCTGAAAGGGAGTGGGGATTGCTAAGCCCTGAAAGGGAGTGGGGATTGCTAAGCCCTGAAAGGGAGTGGGGATTTCTAAGCCCTGAAAGGGAGTGGGGATTGCTAAGTCCTGAAAGGGAGTGGGGATTGCTAAGCCCTGAAAGGGAGTGGGGATTGCTAAGCCCTGAAAGGGAGTGGGGATTGCAGTGTTTGTGTATTAGCACCTTCAGAACATAAATTAAAAGATCACCAGATTATAATAAAACCTGTATAAGTGGTACACCCTTGGTTCCAATAAAATGTGTTCTTCTTTGGAGGTGTACCACTTATAGAGGTTCAATTAACATTAGGTTAGTAGGGCTGCAGTGTTCTATTAGAGATTCAATTAACATTAGGTTAGTAGGGCTGCAGTGTTCTATAAGAGGTTTAATTAACATTAGGTTAGTAGGGCTGCAGTGTTCTATTAGAGATTCAATTAACATTAGGTTAGTAGGGCTGCAGTGTTCTATAAGAGGTTCAATTAACATTAGGTTAGTAGGGCTGAAGTGTTCTATTAGAGATTCAATTAACATTAGGTTAGTAGGGTTGAAGTGTTCTATTAGAGATTCAATTAACATTAGGTTAGTAGGGCTGAAGTGTTCTATTAGAGATTCAATTAACATTAGGTTAGTAGGGTTGAAGTGTTCTATTAGAGATTCAATTAACATTAGGTTAGTAGGGCTGAAGTGTTCTATTAGAGGTTCAATTAACATTAGGTTAGTAGGGCTGAAGTGTTCTATTAGAGATTCAATTAACATTAGGTTAGTAGGGCTGAAGTGTTCTATTAGAGATTCAATTAACATTAGGTTAGTAGGGCTGAAGTGTTCTATTAGAGATTCAATTAACATTAGGTTAGTAGGGTTGAAGTGTTCTATTAGAGATTCAATTAACATTAGGTTAGTAGGGCTGAAGTGTTCTATTAGAGATTCAATTAACATTAGGTTAGTAGGGTTGAAGTGTTCTATTAGAGGTTCAATTAACATTAGGTTAGTAGGGCTGAAGTGTTCTATTAGAGGTTCAATTAACATTAGGTTAGTAGGGCTGAAGTGTTCTATTAGAGGTTCAATTAACATTAGGTTAGTAGGGCTGAAGTGTTCTATTAGAGGTTCAATTAACATTAGGTTAGTAGGGCTGAAGTGTTCTATTAGAGGTTCAATTAACATTAGGTAAATGGGTAATGGGATTGAAGAGTGTTCTATTTATGAGGTGGTCTAGTTAAAAAGAGGTTCAATTAAATGAGGTTAATTGGCCATGGGGCTGAAAAGTGTTCCACTTAAGATGTGATAACTAATAGAGGTTCAATCAACATGAGGTTAATGGGTCATGGTACTGAAGTGTTCAACTGATGGAGATGTTCCACTTAAGTGTGTTCTACTCAAGGTTTTACTGGATTTAAGGTTTTGACACAGTCACATAATATTTCTGTAAGGTTTTCTAATTGATAAGGTCTATCTGTAAGATCAAGTATGAGATAAGGCATTAACTATCTCAAAACATATATATATATAATGGGGTCTAAAAAACACATTACTTAATAACGGATTTGATAAGCCTTGGTAGCTTAACAAAGCCCAAGTAGGTGCCAAAGTATGTGTAACAATTTATACATTTATACAGCTAAATCCATAATATGACAATAATTTGTATATGCTACAACTCTATGCTACAGCTGTATTATATAAGAACTGGCAGAAGAGTAATCAACATATGAACAGATTAAAGATTAATCCTATACTACTATATATGATATAATTGTAATCTTATTAGAGTCATGTTGCAACTTCTGATTATATTTTCCAATCTGAATTCAGACAATTATAAAATCATATAATGCCCTTTATGAAATTTTATAATATCAGTATCATATTAAAACATTGAAAAATTTGTTAATGGATTAATCATGTCTGAAATGTGTTTAGGTAAATATGATTTGCAATTGATATGCCTGTAGGGCTGCTACAAATATTTGTTCAGTTATATCTGTAAATTCGCTTTGTAAAGTTGGTATACTGGGCTACTTTATGCAAGCGCCATTATGTAATATTTGTTTGTAGATGAATGCATGACATTTACAAGAGCTACACTTTGTTTGCACTATATTGTCTATATTATATTGTTTGCACTATATTGTTATTTACACTACCTTATCTGGAAATCTAAGTTTTGAATGAATATTCATGTGGGATTTGCTTGTTTCTAGTTTCAAGAGAGAGTTTGTTATTAAAGACCCAGTCATCAAAGCAAGGGATTGTTAATATCTAAGAGTTTTGAATGAATATTCATGTAGGATTTGCTTGTTTCTAGTTTCAAGAGAGAGTTTGTTATTAAAGACCCAGTCATCAAAGCAAGGAATTGTTCATATCTAAGAGTTTTGAATGATTCATATTCATGTAGGATTTGCTTGTTTCTAGTTTCAAAAGAGAGTTTGTTATTAAAGACCCAGTCATCAATGCAAGGAATTGTTCATATCTAAGAGTTTTGAATGATTCATATTCATGTAGGATTTGCTTGTTTCTAGTTCCAAGAGAGAGTTTGTTATTAAAGACCCAGTCATCAAAGCAAGGGATTGTTCATATCTGAGAGTTTTGAATGAATATTCATGTAGGATTTGCTTGTTTTTAGTTTCAAGAGAGAGTTTGTTATTAAAGACCCAGTCATCAATGCAAGGGAATTGTTCATATCTGAGAGTTTTGAATGAATATTCATGTAGGATTTGCTTGTTTTTAGTTTCAAGAGAGAGAGTTTGTTATTAAAGACCCAGTCATCAAAGCAAGGGATTGTTCATATCTGAGAGTTTTGAATGAATATTCATGTAGGATTTGCTTGTTTTTAGTTTCAAGAGAGAGAGTTTGTTATTAAAGACCCAGTCATCAAAGCAAGGGATTGTTCATATCTGAGAGTTTTGAATGAATATTCATGTAGGATTTGCTTGTTTTTAGTTTCAAGAGAGAGTTTGTTATTCAAGACCCAGTCATCAAAGCAAGGGAATTGTTCATATCTAAGAATATTGAATGAATATTCATGTTTTTTGTTTTGTTTTGTTTTTTTCATTTGGGAATTGCTTGTTTCTAGTTTCAGGGAAAGCGTTTGTTATTAAAGACCCAGTCATCAAAGTAAGGGATTGTTAATATCTAAGAGTTTTGAATGAATATTCATGTAGGATTTGCTTGTTTCTAGTTTCAAGAGAGAGTTTGTTATTAAAGACCCAGTCATCAAAGCAAGGGATTGTTCAAATATAAGAGTTTTGAATGAATATTCATGTAGGATTTGCTTGTTTCTAGTTTCAAGAGGGAGTTTGTTATTAAAGACCCAGTCATCAAAGCAAGGGAATTGTTCATATCTAAGAATTTTGAATGAATATTCATGTTTTGTTTTGTTTTTCACGTGGGATTTGCTTGTTTCTAGTTTCAGGCAGAGAGTTGGTTATTAAAGACCCAGTCATCAAAGCAAGGGAATTGTTCATATCTGACACAACAGACACTTTCTCTGTCAAGTTTCTCAGGTAAGATTTGTTTTCTCAACTAAAAATCAGCTTTGTGGGTTAAAGCACATCTAAATGTTAAAATCTATAGACACATATAAAAACTACATGTATGTGTGAAATCTATAAGAGTTTTAAGATCCACATTAGTTCATACCTTTGATTTATGATTTGACTATTTATTCCAGGTAGCTGTGAGTGTTGAAATCTATCTGAGTGTTGAAACATTTGTGAATATTGAATACCTATATATGACAATTGAATTGTTTTTAGTGTTGGAAGGCTAATTGAGTTTAAACATTTGGTGGGTGTTAAGACAAATGTCATTTTCAAGCTTTATTTGTATATTTTTCACTTGGGTCAACCAGATTTTGAGCAAAGTCGTTTCAAAATAGTTCAAAAAAAGGATATAGGAGCAGTGCATAAGTGTATCACCATTTCACTACTTTCAAACCTCATTTAGACTATGGTCTTATATGGAATTTCTCCTAAATTCAATATTGGCATCAAATGGGAAGTTTTTGCCAAATTGTTTTACAACTTAAATATTAACTATCATATTAATGGTTTTGACATGCTGATAAAGGATTGGTATCTGTATGGCGAACTGAATTCAACATTGATTTCTCTCAAACCAATAATTGAAAACATTCTGTTAAATCGAGGATATGTACAATTTTCAGAATTTTTTTATGACAGAAGTTTAAGAGACATGTGTTCAATTTAGTTCGCCATATTTATACCAATTCTTTATCTGTTTGAAATCCTGCACAACCAATCATTATTGCGCTTACAGAGGACGCTGTAAAGTAATACACTACCAAGACATCACCGCTGCCAGAGACTTCCTGCCAACCCCAGATTCGTTCTTTTATGTCTTAAGCTTTAATCCTGAGACAAAGAGACTGGCGACCACGCAGGGTGAGATTCGGGTGGGGCCGAGCCATCAGGTAAAGAATATGCATCACGCTTTGAATATATATAAACAAATTAGTCTTCAAATCTCAAGGAATTCTTTTGGTGAATTCTTTTTTGGTGCAATTTTAATTGTTTCTCAGTCAATAACCCAAGCTACTGCAAAAGATAGTCAAAATATTAAAAGATGTGACTGATTCGATAATAGGATAGTTTCTAAATAGCAGAAAAACAATGAAATCTAGTGCTGTCATCTTTTATTCAGCTTTTAATTTGGGCTAGAGTTCAATGATTTGCAAGAATTATGAAAAATAGCCATTATTTTTTTTATTAAAGGAGTGGTATCGATATGGCGAACTTTTTGAACACACATTTCTCTTAAACCAGTCATAAAAAAATCTAAACATTTAACATGTCGTCAATTTAATGGTCATCTTTTGAATGGTAACAATATAATTTGAAAAATATATATATACTTTCATCTATATTGTTTTAGAAAACACATCAAACACTTGTTTTGTTCTTGGTATCATGTTTCCAGAGTGAAATGAATCTTTCCGAACCTCATTGGAACAAAATGACATAAACACAACATGTTTAGGTCTCTCAATATTGTAATTGTGCAAAGGAAAAAATGGGTATCGATATGGCGAACTTTTTGAACACACGTTTCTCTTAAACAAGTCATCGAAAATTTCTGAAAATCTTACAAATTGTCAATTTAATGGCCATCTTTTGAATGGTAACAATATAATTTGAAATAGATATACATACTTTCATATATATTGTTTTAAAAAACACATCAAACACTTGTTTTGTTCTTGGTATCATGTTTCCAGAGTGAAATGAAACATCTTTCCGAACCTCATTGGAACAAAACGACATAAACACAACATGTTTAGGTCTCTCAATATTGTAATTGTACAAAGGAAATTTTGGTTGATTTTGAAAAAGTATCTTGTTAATGAAATAAAAGGTTTTTCTTGATTTTTATTATCTATTTTTGGGGGATTTTGTTTTAATTTTTTGAATACTTTTTTAAAATCAACCAAAAATTCCTTTGTATAACTTTAATATTGAGAGGTCTAAAAACATGTTGTATATGCTATTTTGTTCCAACAAGGTTCGAAAAGACATTTTATTTCATTCTCAAGAATTGGTAGAAAGGATCAAGAACAATTGCACTAAAAAAACAAAAAATGTTAACAAAAATAGTTATATAAAATATTTCTAAATGATTTTCGCATTAAATTGTTGTCAATCAGTCAACATTACATAAAATACCATGTTTTTTTACAGAATGTTTTCAATGATTGGTTTAAGAGAAAAACATTGTTGAATTCAGTTCTCCATTATACCACTCCTTTATAGATTTGATTTTCAACTGATTTCCTAATCTCTTTCAAATACCTTTTTTGAGAAAGATCTAACTTCTTTTTTTAATAGATGACCTCATCACAGAATGGCAAAGGTCTAATAAAATTCTCTGACTGTGTTTCAGGCTCGGCTCCCTGTGTACCAGGAGAATGTTGAGGTTACATCAGACCTGCTGTATCCTGTGGAACAGTTAATATGGAAATCCTCAGCTGTGGAAGACTGTGATCTGATGATGTACCTCAGGGCTGCAAGGTATGTTATGGCATTCATTCTTTTGGTTACCATAATGTGTTAGTGGCAATCATTCTTTTGGTTACCATAATGTGTTAGTGGTAATCATTCTTTTGGTTACCATGATGTGTTATAGTTTTGTGTTATGGGCAATCCTTCTTTTGGTTACCATAATGTTTTATTGGCCAATCCTCTTCTGGTTAACTATAATGTGTTATGGGCCATCCCTCTTTTCCTTACCAGGGTTCTCACTAGACTTTTAGACTCCAGAGATTCTCCGGAGTTTAATGTCTTAAGACCCTCTTGCCCTCGCAAAAAATCTGAGGTCTACAAATTTCCTGGTGAGAACCCTGTTTACCATGATGTGATATAGGCAATCCCTCTTTTGGTAACCATAATGTGTTATGGGCAATCCTTCTTTTGGTAACCATAATGTGTTATGGGCAATCCTTCTTTTGGTTACCATAGTATGTTGTGGGTAATCCTACTTTTGTTCACCATAATGTGTTTAAGTCGATCCTTCTTTTTGTTGCCATATTGTGTTATGGGCAATCCCTCTTTTGGTTACCATTATGTGTTATGGTCAATCCATCTTTTGGTAACCGTAATGTGTTATGGGTAATTTCTCTTTTGGTTACCAAAATGTGTTATGGGCAATCCATCTTTTGGTAACCGTAATATGTTATGGGCAATCCCTCTTTTGGTTACAATAATGTGTTATGGTCAATCCATCTTTTGGTTGCCATAATGTTTTATGGCCCAACCCTCTTTGGTAACCGTAATATGTTATGGGCAGTCCCTCTTTTGGTTGCCATAATGTGTTATGGGCAATCCCTCTTTTGGTTACCATAATATGTTATGGGCAATCCATCTTTTGGTTGCCATAATGTTTTATGGCCCAACCCTCTTTGGTAACCGTAATATGTTATGGGCAGTCCCTCTTTTGGTTGCCATAATGTGTTATGGGCAATCCCTTTTTTGGATACCATAATGTGTAATGGGCAATCCATCTTTTGGTTGCCATAATGTTTTATGGCCCAACCCTCTTTGGTAACCGTAATATGTTATGGGCAATCCCTCTTTTGGTTGCCATAATGTGTTATGGGCAATTCCTCTTTTGGTTACCATAATGTGTAATGGGCAATCCATCTTTTGGTTACCATAATATGTTATGGGCAATCCATCTTTTGGTTACCATAATATGTTATGGGCAATCCATCTTTTGGTTACCATAATATGTTATGGGCAATCCCTCTTTTGGTTGCCGTATTATGTTATGGGCAGTCCCTCTTTTGGTTGCCATAATGTGTTATGGGCAATCCCTTTTTTGGATACCATAATGTGTAATGGGCAATCCCTCTTTTGGTTGCCATAATGTGTTATGGGCAATCCCTCTTTTGGTTACAATAATGTGTTATGGGCAATCCCTCTTTGGTTACAATAATGTGTTATGGGCAATCCCTCTTTTGGTTGCCATAATGTGTTATGGGCAATCCCTCTTTTGGTTACAATAATGTGTTATGGGCAATCCCTCCTTTGGTTACAATAATGTGTTATGGGCAATCCCTCTTTTGGTAACCGTAATATGTTATGGGCAATCCCTCTTTTGGTTGCCATAATGTGTTATGGGCAATCCCTCTTTTGGTTACCATAATGTGTAATAGGCAATCCATCTTTTGGTTACCATAATATGTTATGGGCAATCCATCTTTTGGTTACCGTAATGTGTTATGGGCAATTCCTCTTTTGGTTACCATCATGTGTTATGGGCAATCCCTCTTTTGGTTACCATAATGTGTTATGGTCAATCCATCTTTTGGTTGCCATAATTTTTTATGGCCCAACCCTCTTTGGTAACCGTAATATGTTATGGGCAATCCATCTTTTGGTTACCATAATATGTTATGGCCCAACCCTCTTTGGTAACCGTAATATGTTATGGGCAGTCCCTCTTTTGGTTGCCATAATGTGTTATGGGCAATCCCTTTTTTGGATACCATAATGTGTAATGGGCAATCCCTCTTTTGGTTGCCATAATGTGTTATGGGCAATCCCTCCTTTGGTTACAATAATGTGTTATGGGCAATCCCTCTTATGGTTACCATTATGTGTTATGGGCAATCCTTCTTTTGGTTACCATAATGTGTTATGGTCAATCTCTCTTTTGGTAACCGTAATGTGTTATGGTCAATCCATCTTTTGGTTGCCATAATGTTTTATGGCCCAACCCTCTTTGGTAACCGTAATATGTTATGGGCAGTCCCTCTTTTGGTTGCCATAATGTGTTATGGGCAATTCCTTTTTTGGATACCATAATGTGTAATGGGCAATCCCTCTTTTGGTTGCCATAATGTGTTATGGGCAATCCCTCTTTTGGTTACAATAATGTGTTATGGGCAATCCCTCTTTGGTTACAATAATGTGTTATGGGCAATCCCTCTTTTGGTTGCCATAATGTGTTATGGGCAATCCCTCTTTTGGTTACAATAATGTGTTATGGGCAATCCCTCCTTTGGTTACAATAATGTGTTATGGGCAATCCCTCTTTTGGTAACCGTAATATGTTATGGGCAATCCCTCTTTTGGTTGCCATAATGTGTTATGGGCAATCCCTCTTTTGGTTACCATAATGTGTAATGGGCAATCCATCTTTTGGTTACCATAATATGTTATGGGCAATCCATCTTTTGGTTACCGTAATGTGTTATGGGCAATTCCTCTTTTGGTTACCATAATGTGTTATGGGCAATCCCTCTTTTGGTTACCATAATGTGTAATGGGCAATCCATCTTTTGGTTACCATAATATGTTATGGGCAATCCATCTTTTGGTTACCATAATGTGTTATGGGCAATCCCTCTTTTGGTTACCATAATGTGTAATGGGCAATCCATCTTTTGGTTACCATAATATGTTATGGGCAATCCATCTTTTGGTTACCGTAATGTGTTATGGGCAATTCCTCTTTTGGTTACAATAATGTGTTATGGTCAATCCATCTTTTGGTTGCCATAATGTTTTATGGCCCAACCCTCTTTGGTAACCGTAATATGTTATGGGCAGTCCCTCTTTTGGTTGCCATAATGTGTTATGGGCAATCCCTTTTTTGGATACCATAATGTGTAATGGGCAATCCCTCTTTTGGTTGCCATAATGTGTTATGGGCAATCCCTCTTTTGGTTACAATTATGTGTTATGGTCAATCCTTCTTTTGGTTACCATAATATGTTATGGGCAATCCCTCTTTTGGTTGCCATAATGTGTTATGGGCAATCCCTCTTTTGGTTACAATAATATGTTATGGGTAATCCCTCCTTTGGTTACAATAATGTGTTATGGTCAATCCATCTTTTGGTTACCATAATATGTTATGGGCAATCCTTCTTTTGGTTACAATAATGTGTTGTATGGGCAATCCCTCTTTTGGTAACCGTAATATGTTATGGGCAATCCCTCTTTTGGTTACCATAATATGTTATGGGCAATCCTTCTTTTGGTTACCATAATATGTTATGGGCAATCCCTCTTTTGGTTGCCACAATGTGTTATGGGCAATCCCTCTTTTGGTTACCATAATATGTTATGGGCAATCCCTCTTTTGGTTACAATAATGTGTTATGGTCAATCCTTCTTTTGGTTACCATAATATGTTATGGGCAATCCCTCTTTTGGTTGCCATAATGTGTTATGGGCAATCCCTCTTTTGGTTACAATAATATGTGTTACAGTAGTGAGCTACATGTATATTATATTCTACTATATTCACCTATAGTTTTCCCCAATTTCTGTTACGTTCGAAAATAACAGAAAGTAAAAACAGCAATTAAAATATGATAACAATATATTTATATTTTGAAAACTAAATAATATAACAATAATATAAAGGAGGTTTAATACTTAAGTGATGTCCAATCAATGATACGGCTTATTCTAGATGTCGATAAATGTCGTTGATGATCCTTGAGAATGTTCCAGATCACGAAATGATTCAATAATCGTTAATAGCTCTCCAATGTTTGTAATAATCCAATAATGTTTGTTGTAATCCTATAATGTTCGTATCCAATAATGTTTGATGATAATCCACAAATGTTTGATGATAATCCACAAATGTTTATGATAATCCATATATAGAGTGTGTTATAATATATGTCCATATAAAGTCCTCAGGTTGTATGTTTGTAGTGTTATAAATGTTCCCACAGTATGTGTCTGTTATTTTCTGCTAAGAAGATGTCTTTTGATCAACTTTGAAATTCTGCTTTATTTAGTTCCTTTGAGATGTCCAGTTATGATTACTTAATTATCTGCTAGCGAGAGTCACTGTGCTGTTCTTTTTTATAATGTGAAAGAATGATCCAGAAACGAATCTTCTGGAACTACATCTTGATTGGACATCTTTAGTGACATGATTCAATCTGATTAAATGTTTACTAGTTTCCGAATATTCTAGAAGGTCAAGAGTTAATGAGTCATTCAGTTCAGTTTTGTTTACAAGATACAGTGTATAATGTCATTGTGACCTTGACCTAAGATCTCTAATGAAGCATAGCTCAACATATACAGCAAGCATAGATTACAAATTAAAAAACTATAGGTGAATATAGTAGAATATAATATACATGTAGCTCACTACTGTAACACCTCCCTCCTTAAAAGAAAAGTTTTGAATGCAATGAAAAACTTTTACAATAATATCTTGAGTAGCGAGCGTTACAATTTTTAAAAGTGAGGTTGAGACTTACATGATATTTGTTTACAATATTCTTTTTTTTATATGCAGTATGTTTACAAGTATATAATACTTTCCATCGTTACAGTGTGAGTACAATCTAATAACATATAATGTTCTTATAATCCCATACTACAATAATATCTACATAAGTTATGCATTAAGTCATAAATACAATACACGCAATAGATCATATAACATGTACAATAGCAAACATTTTTGAGTCTGACAAACACTAAACTAGTACAATGTTTTAAATTATCACATGATCTTATGTAAGTATTTCTAA